CTGAGAGCTTTTCTGTGAAATAAATAGAGAGTCAAAGCAACAGAAAAGCTTCCAGATTTCTCTATTCCAGGCTGAGACAAGTTTGTAAATACTTCCAGAAATTGCCAACATGCCTGAAGGGTAACATCTCTAAAGTACACCTCTGTAATATGAAATGCAGAGCACCTTAACTTCTTCAGCCCGCCCCCAGTCACAACCAGCTATAAATCCTGCCCTTCAGTTGTCAGAATATCTCATCATGAGGGATGCATTTTTTAGTTGAGAAATACAAATCCACTTGACAGAGCCACTCAGGCATATACATGGGCTATGCTGCTGGTAGGTTTGTACCAAGCACTCCCAGTGTGAGAATAACCTACAGGGACTCTAAGCAGACAACATTTTTGCACACTACCTTGTTGCCTTTATGGTTTATTCCAAACTCCCCACCTTTCCCCAGGAGAAACAAGCTGTATTGGCAGCAGAGTGTTTTGAAGGTAACCCTGCATCTGTAGTGGGTAGCTTTGCAGGCACAACTCTTCACCCCTATCCAGCTAGTCTAAGTTACTTCCTTACAACAGGAAGAATTGAAACACACAGGCTACGCTGGCAAGAGGATTTGAGCCTGAGCTGCCTTTTCCCCAGGAGGCCATGGGTTTGGACAGTACAGAAGGGCAGCATAAGCTGCTCTCACTACCAAGTGAGCTGGCACCAGGGAGGCTGCATAGGGAGGAACCCATCACCAGCAGGAAAGGAGCCCTGCAAATCAGCACGTGTAGGTTACTGGGGTGGGGAATGATATTGCCCTGATGGAAGCTCCTGATACCCACATTTACCCTAACCCAGAGACTCAAAACACAAAGAGAGGAAATGTTGAGAGACAGGAAAGTGCAGCACTGAGGAAGCACATTGTACCATGTACTCAGTGCCCCTCTCCCAACAGCATTCTCAAGTGGTCCCTTTAAAAATGGCTCTCACTAGTTTGGGAGTTCACTGGCACCAGCTCACTGCCAGGAACCAAAGGTGCTAAACAGGGGTGGGAACAACCTATTCATGGACAGTTGAGGAAATGCTGGACAGAAATAGGGGTGTTTAGTAACCTGACTGATAAAGAAGAAAGAATGCAGATAGAGCTGGAGAAGTAATCAAGGTGGGAACAAGCTGTATAAAAATGAAATGTAGAAAAAATATGCTGGAGCAGAATAAAAGGACTCTATTCCCATCCCATCCTGGGATCCTGAACCCCAATGCAGAATAAATGAAGGGCTTCATGTATTGTGCTAGTGAGAGAGATCCCCCTGAAGCAATAGCTCAGGCTCAGCCCCTGCAGTCTCCAGGAAAGGAGCCCACAGCCCTGCTGCAGTTGATGTGGCAGTCACCAGACTCAATAACTTGGCATTGAGATGTGTTAGGTGTGGCTTTGGGTGTGCAGTAAAACCAATGTTGAATAGAAAGTGTCTGTCAGTACTCAGTGAAGGGAGAGAAAATTTCATGAGCCTTGGAATTACTGGAGGGGACTGACTAATTTTGGTAGTCCAAAAAGGTCTGTGCTGGGAAATAACTTCCATGCAATGCCTCTGAAATGTGGGGGTGGAGGCGTTGTACTGAAGCCTTGAGCTGTGGCAGAGCATCACTCAAAGATATGTGAGGTTAGCACAGGCCAGAACTTGCCTGAGCCAGAGGGTGCCTATTCATGGCTGGAACAGTCCTCCCTGCAGCAAGCTACAGATGTACCCCCTCTGTCAGCTGCAGCTCCAGCCATGGAGGAGGCTCCCTCCTGCCCTGGAGAGCACTGGTACACTCTGGGTGCTTTGGAGGTGCTAATAGTTTCGGGCTCTGGTGCAATGGAGACTCACTCTGTGCCTGGTTTGCCAGCCTTCCTTGACCAGCAGAGACTGTTTTGTGGGGTAGGACCACTCGACTCCAGCATAGACACAGTGTCCAGAAAAATAAAGTCCCCATCTCCTTTCCCATGATCCTAATCCTATCAAAGCCCATTAGAGTTTGGCATTTGTCTTGAATGCAAAATTTTCACTGCAGGGGAGAAATCTTCAAGCCTCTGTTGAGTTCCTGTTTCTTCTGCCTTTTTTGGGAAGAACTGTTGTCTGCAATGAGAGACATTCCACATCACTGAGAAGGTGGGTGCTGGGATTCTAGGAGGGGAATGAGCAGAATAAAATCTTCCCTAGACTAAAAAGAGTGTGAAACACCAGCAGCCAGGCAGCTAAAATCAAGTTAATATAAGAAACAACATGAGGAAGCCAGATATTATTTTGTTATCTTTCTGCTTGCTAGAATTCTGGGCCTGGACAGTAGCCAGCACTCCCTTCCCCAGTACAGGGCTGTGAAGCCTGGAGACTCCTTTATCTCTGAGCTGCTCATTGCAATGTCTGCAAAGCACTAACAAGACATCTGATTGACCCAAATATATCAGTGATCACAGTTTCAGGAATGCTTAACATGTTGTAAATTGAACAGCTTGGCTGGTGTTTAACCCTCTACCAATTATCTGAATTATCTGGTTTTAAAAATATTGCAACTTGTAAGCAGGATTATTAGCCAGAGGGCTGGCTCAGCTAAACTCTGGCTTGTACTCCTTTCAAAGAGTGCAGTTGGAAGGCAGAGTATTTTGGGGAAGTGATGTTTTCCCCAGCTATTGATTTAAGGGTGTAGTCACAGTATAGCCTGTTGATTAACTGCCTAGCTTACAAGAGACAAGCTGTAATTGAAATTAATGTCATGCTGTAACTTGGAGGTTATGTCCACCTTAATAACAGGAAATCTAGTGTCCTTATCCATGGCAATGGTTCTTCTCTGGAGAGAAATCCCAGTGCACACACTGGCAGCTGGATGCTCACTAGAAACACAAGTTCATATAAAGCAAAATACATGCCCAACCTACGTATGGAATAAAATTAGATTTTTGCTTTCAATAATTTTCCAGCAAGCTAGGAGTTTTCTTAAACCTATTTCAAAATAGAAAGTGGCAGAGAACAGAGGCAATTCTGTGTCATTTCTTTGGTAAAAATACTGTTGGATAAAAGCCTCCTGCTCCGAGTACTGTTATCATGGACCACTGTGAAGTGTAGCAATCACTAGCTCCAAATCGCATACCTGGCGTTCACCGCACAGTTCGTGTGGCTTCAAAGGGTGAAAATGCAAAGCGCCATCTGGCAGTACGGCTTCAGGGTCGGAACAGCACGAGACCCGAATTCCTGGGTAGCAAGAGGAATGTCTGACAGCTTGCACTGGCTGTGGGTGAGGCCGGTGAGTATCTCAGTATCGCTGTGACCCGCTCCGCCGGTGCCGGCGGCGGCTGCAGCGCGGGGCCGGGAGCGGCAGGAGGTGCTGCTGCGACACGGCCGGGCCGCGCCGAGCGGCGGGGAGGCGCCCGCTGCGCTCTGCCGGCAATCTGAGGCAGAACACCGGGGAAAAACAGAGAGTTCAACTTTTTTTTTTTTTTTTCTTTTCTTTGTGGTGGGTTTGGGTTTTTGTGGTTTTTTATTATTTTGTTTTGGTGGGGTTTTTTTTGTTTTTTTTTGTTTGTTTGTTTGTGGTGGCCAAGCTGTATGCGTGTGTATAACTGTGAGTTGTTAAGGTGTATTAAAAGAGTTTGAATGTTTTTAACAAAATTGTGGGAAAAAAAAAGAATTCCCTAATTCTTATTTTAAAAGAAAATAAACTGTATTCCATCCAACCTGGAAGACTGGAGTGTGGCTGAAAAACGGAGTTGTTGTGATACCTCAAGAGAGCAGAAAGAGTTCAAGAGACAGGAAAGGAATTTTTTCTTTTGCAGTAGTTAAGATTCTGAGTGCAGTGGTTTTGCTGCACTGATCCAGCCTCAGTAGCTACTTTGGATAGCCACGGCAATGATAGCAGAAGGGAGAGGTGTTTAATCTCGTTTGGCTCACAAAAGGTGTTCTTTGCAAGAGAAGTCCCCAGTAAAATACTGAAAGAGCAGAGCTAAGCCTCTTTGCCTTGAGAAGGCAGAAAAATTGAAATAGGGAATAGAGAAATAGTTACTCTTCTGAACACCTGACAGGGACACAACTTGAAAAGAAAGGCTGGCTGTCGCTCTTTCGGGCAGGATATCCCGCTAGGAGGGGTTAACACCTCTCGAGAGGGTTAAAATGCCAGGAAAAACTGGTCTGCAGCCTCCGTGACACACCTGGTGCTTAAGCACCTCACACATCCCGGTGTAAAAGGACGCGAAGGGCGCTGCCTTCCGTGCAGGCGGGCCCCCAGCGAAGCGGGAAGAACAGGTGCGTGGGGTCTCCCCATCGCGCCTCGCCCACGGTCGCAGGCGGCCCGGCCCTGCAGGGAGCCCCGGCATCACGCCGCGGCGTGCGGGTGGGTCCGGTTCCGCTGCCGGGCGCACAGGTGCCTGTCCGGGTGTGCACCGCGCGGTGCCCGTGTTTGCAGCGCTCCCTTTGTGCAGCCACCTGCCGGCTCCCGGCCCCGAGCGCCGGGCTGGGGTGAGGGCTGGCGGAGCGGAGAGGGTGCCGCTCTGCCGCTGACCGCGGCGCGACCCTGCCGTGCGCCCGGGGGCGGCAGGAGGCGCGGTGGCGCCCGGGGCCCCGCGGCCGCCCGTGCACTGGCGCGGGGGGCGGCCCCGCTGGCGTGCGTACCGCCTTCCCCTTCCCCCTCCCCGCTTTCCTCCCTCGGTGTGCAGGCTCCTTTGTGCTGCCTGCAGCGGCGAGGAGGAGCCGACGGGCCAAGCGCCCGCGCCGCAGCGCTCTCCCATCCCGCGGGCGAGCGACCGGCTCGGCTCTCACGCCATCCGCGACCCTTCCGCCTCCTCGACGGGGCTCTCCGCCGCGTGTGGGACCGCCGCCCCCGCCGCGCGGGCCATCGCCGTTTTAAGCGGAGGGCCACGCCGGGAGACGGGGCGGGCCGGGCGCGCCCCCCCGGCTCCCCCACGTGGTGCGGTGCCGGTGTCTCCTGGCCGCCGGCGGAGCTGGGCGCACACGGCGTGGGGCAGCCGCCGGGGCTCGTGTGCTCCCGCCGCCGCTCCCCGGGCGGCGGATCCGGCCCGCGGCCATGCGCCAGCACAGCAGCGCTGAGCGGCCGAGCGGCGGGGCTGCACCGCCGCCGCGTCCCGCGGTAGCGGCGTGAAGCGGCGTGAGGATGAAGCGGGCGAGGCGGGCCGCGCCGGGCCCCCTGCCCGTGCTGGGGCTGCTGCTGCTGGGCGCCCTGCCGGGGCTCTGGACGGTGCTGCTGCGGCGGGAGGCGGCGGCGCCGCCGGAGCCGCGCCCGCCCGCCGGGCAGTCCCCGGGGCGATGGGGCTGGGGGCGCTCCCCGGCGGCGCGGGGCGAGTCCGGCGCCGGCGGGCAGAAAACTTTCCGGACACTGCTGGCGGTGCCGGCGGCGGCGACGGACCGGGAGGAGCGGGACGGTGAGGAGCGGCTCGCTGTGACCGACTCGCAGCCGCCGGCCGACACCGCCTCTCCGGTGGAGCGGGGCATCTTCTGGAGCCGTGAGCTGGAGGAGCAGGTGCCGCCGGGCTTCGCGGCGGAGGAGGCGGCGGCGTGGCTGTCGGCCGCCCGCGCAGCCCGCGTGGCCTCGCTGGAGCGGGGCGGCTGCGGGCGCAGCTCCAACCGGCTGGCGCGGCTGTCGGACGGGAGCCGCGCCTGCGTCCGCTACGGCATCAACCCGGAGCAGATCCAGGGCGAGGCGCTCTCGTATCACCTGGCCGGGGTGCTGGGCATGCAGGAGCGGCTGCCGCCCATGGCCCTCGCCCTGGTGGAAGCCCGCGGCCGGCAGTGGGAGCCGGTGCGCGAGGAGCTGCGCGGCTCGCACTGGGCCGAGGGCGCCGTGGTCAGCCTGACCCGCTGGGTGGACAATCTCACCGCCGTGGTGGCTCCCAAGCCCTGGGGCGCCGAGGCGGGCGCCGGCCGGCGGCTGCAGCCGCTGTCGGCGGGGGAGCTGGACGGGCTGTCGCCGTCGCAGCTGGTGGAGCTGGTGCAGTGGAGCGATTTGATCCTCTTCGACTACCTGACGGCCAACTTCGACCGCCTGGTCAGCAACCTCTTCAGCCTGCAGTGGGACCCGCGGGTGATGCGCCGCGCCACCAGCAACCTGCTCCGCGCCCCCGACGGCGGGCTCGTCTTCATGGACAACGAGGCGGGGCTGGTGCACGGCTACCGCCTCCTCGCCATGTGGGACCCCTACAACGAGCCGCTGCTCCGCTCCGTGTGCGTGTTCCGCGAGGGCACGGCCCGCCGGGTGGCCGAGCTGCACCGCCGCCGCAGCGCTGCCGCCGAGCTGCGCCGCCGCTACCGGGCGCGGGAGCCGCTCTGGGCGCGCCTCGGCTTCCTCTCCGAGCGGCAGGCCGAGCTGCTGCAGGCCCGCGTGGATTTCGTGCACCGCCACATCGCCCACTGCCGCGCCCAGGCCGCCGTGCTCTGAGCCCCCGGGGCCGCAGCGCTCCGGCTTTGCTCTGCTCCCGGGCAGCGCCGCTGACTTGCCGCGGGCTGGGCCGGAGCTGACCCAGCCTGACACTTCGGTGCCCCGTGGTCGCTGCGACTGCCGGGGACGGGGGAGATAATGGGCTACCTGCCTGCCGGGGCTGTCGAGAGAGGAGCGATTAATTCGCTTTGTCAAGAACTCTGAAGATGCAGAACGCAATCGCTGTAATTACGGCCCAGTTCCACTCCAGGACTCTGTCCCCAGAGTTGGAAAAATGAGAGGGTTCAGCATCTTCAGTGCTTTCCCTTAATTCTCTTCATGCACTCGCTCTCATGAGAGACCCCGTAGGAAAGCAGTTGTCTTTTGTCTGGATTGGGGTCGAGTAACTTGTTTCCTTCCAACGAAGGCAGGCGGAAAATTTTTTTATATATTTTTCCTTTTGCAACGGCATATTTAAGTATGAATGTTGATGTTCATAGACCAAGAACTGATTGCACAATAGGGGACCCCCTAACTAGTGAAACAGCCCTATTTATGAAACTTGTTTCCTACCAGTTTTCTTTAACGAGAGTGAACCTTTCCACTGATTGTTAAATCTTGTTGATGAAAAGTGTATAGGAAGCCCATATTCTTAGGTTTTTTGTGGGTTCATTGGGTTAAACTGTTCTGATTCTTAAGGGTTTGTTTGTAATCATCATAATTTCATCTTACCTGTAAAGTAATTGACTAATGGGTGGCATAGGAAGATCTCCCATTTTTAAAAAATATTGCTACGTGCTAAGACTTTGACACAATAGTTAAAGTGGAGGAGAAACTGTTTCATGCACTTTACTTTGACTTTTAAATTTTTTTATAGAAGACCTTTTTATTTTACAAAGTCTGCCTTTTATGTACATTATATATGTTCATAAACTTTTCTGTAACATACTAAAGAAACTGATATTTCAGTAAAGTGTGTTAATGTTTTTCCTTCTGTGGCCTGGATGTTTGCCTGAGCTTTGACAGGGAAGCATGCATCCATGGGTCTTTCCTGATGGGTGATGGAGGTCACCACTTCACAGCTTGTCACTCGACTGAACAGAATGAACTTTTACTCATTCCCTCTGAGGCAAGGAGGGGTAGAGTTTAGCTTTCAAACACTACTCTCATTCCTAGGTGTTCCTGAAAGGGGAAAAGCTATTGGAGTGGCTAAAGTAGTGTGAGTGCTTCAGCTGAATAGACATTTATCTGGTTTTCAAAGCCTGAAATGGACTGCCTGGGCTAACCCGGAGATAACTGAAGCAGTTCATTTCAGCAAACTGACAAAGCTGGTGTGGGCTAGCTGCTGTCATCAGCCTTTTTGGGTGCTGGGACTGGATACCAACGTGGCACAGGTCATGTCAGCTGTTCCTGCTCCAAAGGCTTGTCCAGGAATTGGAGTGCTTTCAGTGGTGCTCATACTGTCTTCCCATTTTGGTTATCTTTGCAATGAAGAACAGGAAAGCTTTTTAATAATTCTGAAATAGTTGATGGGTTTTTTTTCCCCCTACATAATTCTGTTCTAGGGCAAAGTAGTAACAGTGGACATACACAATAAAATATTGGCATCTCTTGCTTTTTTAAATGTACCAGTATTCATAGAAGAGGCTATTGTATGGCTCGAAATAACAGCCAGAATAAGGACAAAGGATAAACTAATCCTTTTTAGATCCCAAATGCCAGTATATATCCTGCTATAATCAAACAGCAGCATAATCTCTTCTACATCTGGACAGGCAGCCCTTGATGAAGGCAGCAGCATGCCCCAGTGGCTGCTGTGCAAGTTAGGTGCTGTTTTCAGCGCCGAGCACTAACCCTCCCTTGAACTCAGGGAGGGGTGTGCATTCCTATCTACAGGAGGTCTTTGGTCTATTAATATTCATTATTTAGAGTAAACTTCACATTAAGATAATTTTTGTTGGCCGTTACAGTGTTTTGGAGGTTTTGGGGGATAAATTTTTTAATAAGAAAACACTTTTACGAACAAAATTAATGATTAATTAATTAGATGTGTTAGGTAGTGTATCTTTGTCTATGAGTATTTATTTCAAAATGTCCCAGCAGCCTGCAAGACTAGCTTTCCTTCAGCTGCTGAACTGTCAAGGCTCTCTATTGAGCTTGTATTTATAGTTCATTGCATTTATCTCTACGAACAATGCACAGAATCCCATGTGACATTCCCTTGTCATTTACATGATAATACACAACTTAACTGTAATTCTTAATTCTACTTTAGCATTGCTTTGTAACTGGAATGCAGCAGTTTCTGTCGCATTCACCTCATGAAAATATATTTAAATAATAAACTGCTGGCATACATTTTAAACCACTGTGAAGAGCAAACTGCTGTGCCACAAGCATCTAAGGTTTTATTTCTGTTTAAGTACTTCTATAATTATGGCACAACTGTCTTTGATGGCTAATGAGAAGTAAATCTCATTTGCAATGTCTTTAGAGCCAGAGCCTAGCTGATTACCTCTTTCAAAAAGAAACATCATTTCCTATTTGGTGACTGGTGACTACCTCGAGTTATATATAAATTTATATATAAGTTGCATGTTCAAAAATGGTGTAGTTGTAGGTTGGTGTGAAACTAGAGATGCTGTGCTGGGGAAGCAGTGCCCTGGGTAGTGTGTTCATTCAAAAAGGATGGACAGAACTAGCACAGATGGATGACGATACTTCATTCTGTTGCTCTATTTTATTCTTTTGATGCAGATCATTTTCTGTAAAAGCTTTGAATTATCAATATATTAAGGCAAACTTACTCTTTTCTGTGCAATTTCTTTAAGGCAAACAATACTTTAAGTAAATTAGTAAAAGTAAATTACTTTTTGCACGTATTTTAGCTGTATGTGCTGTTTTACATTTGCAGAATCAAGGGATGAAACTCTGTAAAACTTGATGTGGTGGCACTCCTCTAACTCTGCTTATTTCCCACAGTTTCCTTTGAGTAAGAGTAATCAGACAGGCAAGGAGGGCTGAGAACAGGAAGACTTCAGGACCTGAAAGTTGTGAGCAGAAGGCTGTCAACAGTAGATCGGCAGGTTCTGGCTATGCATTGCCAGCTGCTCAGCAGCACTTTACCTGAAGCTCAAGGAACTGTCTGCACAACCTGTACAGAATGGGACTGTAGGGCTTTAGACCTCCCTCAGCAGAGCACTTAAGGATGCACTTCCCACTGCTTTTCACAGGCTTTCTGTAAAGTATGTGTTGAAGAAGTGGGCTGCACTGGTGCCTCGGTCAAATGTGGCCTCTTGCACACATCTGAAGAGGCTGGGTGAGGGTCACAGCCCAGATGTGGCCTGGGTCTGTCCCAGGTGTGAGACAGGAGGTGCTTAACTAAGTAAAACATGTAGAAGACCTAGGTGCTTAACTGGTAACACAAGCTTCAGGAAAAAAAAAAAAATAAAAAAAACCCCAAAACAAAAACAGGGAAAAGTATCTAGAGAGGATGTATTTGAATACACTGCATTCAATTCTATATTCCTATATGTTTCCCTAGTTAAATTCAGAATAACTCTCCTGATTTTTTCTTGCATTGGAATCTGAGGAGGCTTGTAGGGTTAGGTGGTTACTGCTATTCCCAGCTTGAGTTCATAGTCACTGGGACAGTGTCTCCAAACACTAGCAAGCACAGTGAAGGGAGGACTGAGTTCACAGTTTCTGAGAACTAAAGGATATCAAAATTGCACCTGCAGTGGCTATTGCACACCCAGGGTGCACCAAACAGCAAAGTTTGTGAATTCAGTGGGGTTCCCACTTGGTGAAAAAAGCAAGAGTGTTTGCAGCACAAATCTTTGCTTCTCTTTGCTTGCATCTGAAGTAATTTCCAGTATGGATTTATTTTCAGTGTGGATTTCTCTTTGAGAATTTCCTTCACAACTTGGGAAGCTCTTCCCAGGTGCAGAGTTCCCTTACCTCTCACACAAAGCAGCTGCCCTGGGGATGGAGCTGTACTGACCTCTGGTATCACGCTTCACTGCCCTGCTGAGGCTGTGTCAGCCCATTCAAAGATTGGGGAAATAGCTCAGGGCCAGTGGAAGACACTGGAAATACAGTTAGTAACACTTTGACTCACTGGTCGTACAGCATGCTCTTGACATCGCCAGCATATTTTTTTGCTTTCCCTTTGAAGTTTGGTGCCTTTTTAAATATTAATAAAATTAGAATTATCTCACTGACATTACTAGGTGGTCCAGGACTATGAGATAGGAGATTATATTAAAACATAATCCCATTTTGCATGTTATTCCTACTTTGCAACCACAGCATGAAATTTAATCACTCCTTCAGAGCTGTGCTCCCTGGGTTAAATGTGGCAAAGCTCCCAGGAGAAGGGGCTGGGCTGCACAGTAAAGCAGTACCTGCAGGGCACCCACAGAGTTCCTGCTACTCTCAGTGACCTAAAAAACCTTTTACCTTGCTGGCTTACGTGCTAATATAGCTCTCCCTTCTGAAGCAATGCATGCTTATCTGAGAAGTTAACTTCCCAATGGGGTGATTAATGTATTTTACTGTGAATCAACTGGTGTTTTAACAAACATTATCAGTCCCATACTCAGGGACTGTTTAATCTGAGTGTACTTTGGGTATGGGGCAGAAACAAGGTGTTATACCTGTGATGTCTTAACACCCTCCTGTGCTGTGGCTTCCACTGCCTGCTCCAGTACTGGATGAGTTTCTGGGAAAGAAGGACACACACAAGCCTGCATGAATCAGGGCTGCTGCTGTGTGCAGGTGTGAAAAGAGCTGTGCAGATGAAGGAGACTGACTCCATCTGAAAGCAAACCAGTGCTGTACTCAAGAAAAAAAAGCTCTGTCTGGATTATTGAAGGATGAACAACAATAATAGGACTAAAAAGAGGGTCTGACTTGTCTGGTTTTGCATGATTCTGCTATTCAGCCACTTCCTGTGGAGTTTGGGTTGAGGGGTTTGTGTGTGTGGCACTTGCTCCATTTCTGCAAGAAAACAAACACAAGGGAAGACTGACTGCAAAATGCAGTGATTGCTGATGCAGGGAAAATGGAGCAGACATCCTGAAGACCTAGACCCTTCCAGTTCCTATCGCAAGGAGGGATACACAGGTGAGGGGATTTCAGATGGAATACAAGCAGAATGCAAGCTGGTTACAGGGACAATCAAGATGGGAACATTTAAATTGTACTGCCAGGATGTCACCGTGCTTGTCCAGCCTCTGTCACCTGGGCTTTTTAAAGTGATACACTGTCAAACCAGTCTTTGGTGTCAATCCAACAGAATGTGTTTTATAAATAGTCAAAGGCAAAAAAAAAAAAAAAAAAAAGATGTTGAGGCACTTTAAAGCAGGCAAATTCCATTCAGATGCTGGATCCAAGCAGAAACATCCTTTGATGAATTTGGATGGCTGCAAAGATAGTGTTCCCCCAACCACAGCCCCTTTCTCTACCTTCTGTGACAGCTTTCTTGCAACAGCCTCTGAAATGGGCCTTTTTGAGGCAGTCTGTGTCATAGAATAAGGAGAAAAACGTGGAAATTTTTGGCACTCCTGATGTGGAGGACCTGGCTTTTCCCTGTGTAGACCTGTGCAACTAGTGATCTTGAAAGAATAGACTCATTTTCAAAATCTCTCATGAAATGTTTTTGTTATCTGGTGAATTTCAGCCTGTGTAACATTATGTATCCTCAAAGATTTTTAATCAGCATTTTATTTAACCTATTAAATATTATTTGCCAAAACTCATTAAGTACTTTCCCCACTCTGAGTTTTGATCAGTTCACCAAAAACTCTATTTTGATGTTGTAGAATCCACTATATAACTTAATATCCAAGTATGTAACAGTTAAGGTTTACTCAAATTATTTAGACTAGAGGATCCTATCAACCTTGGGGCATCCTCAGGTCTTACACCTTCAGCTGTGTGATGGTGAGGATTAAGAGGGTTGGGATCAGTGTGGTTTTGTGTGAGTGAGGCTGGA